GAACCAAAGCGTCCAGATAAATGAGGGTCCACTGTACTTAAATATAGCCATAAAATGCTACAAGTAGGTCACTGTGATCTTCTTTTGGGTTGATGTTTTTCAAAAACCCAAAATGCATCAACTGACAAGGTTTGATGATTCTAAGCCAATAAGTACCAAAGATACTAAATTTAGCCATGAAATGTCAAAAGTAGGACACTGTGACCTATTTTTTTTGATCGACGTTTTCTGTAGTACCAAGATGTATCAACTGACATCACAGTTTGATGATTATAAGTTTGAAAGTATTCAAAATATGCATTTTAAACAATTTGAAAATAAATGTCTGCAAAATTTAACAAGAGGCTCAGGGCCCACATTGCTCAACTGAGCTCTGGCTATATATATGTTAAACTAAAAGCAAAAAGCGGTTCAGTATTGAAAAATTTAAATATAAAAGTGGGTTCAAGTGGGATCATGATTTGAACAAGCAAATTCACAGAATTGTGGTCCCCCGCTTTCGGTCTCTTTGTGGGTGAGATGTCATTTTTTTGACATATTGTGTCTAATATGAACACCCTGTCATGTGTCATTTATTTAGAAATTATCACTAAAGTTGATTTTTTTTAAAAATAAGGTCAATTGTGAAGATCAAGGTCAAGGGGTAAGAATTCATAGCATGCTCGGAAATATCTTGTCACAGGTAATGCACATGTCAAATATGAAAGTCCTATCTCTTCTCAATATAAGGAACATGATGTGTTTGTGAAACACAGATGACCACGTATGGCAACATAACAAAGATTTAACTTTTCATAAATGCAAATGAAATATATTTGATATTACCCAAAGCAGGGTTTTCAGACAAGAAATACGATTGTGAAATACAAAATCCCAACCCAACCCCCCTGTTCAAAAAGAAAGTTATGGCCAAGGAAGGATAAATTTTTGAAAGGTATGTAAAAACTCCAAGGTGAAAGGATCTGAGTTGTTGATTTCTTAAAAAAGGTCACAAGTAATACATATGTGAAGGATGAAAACCCTAACCTTAACCGTTCAATAGTTATGGCCAAGGTACAAGTTTTGGAAAGGTAAGTCAATCTCCAAGGTCAAGGTCAAAGTTCTTGGTATCCAATGAAAGGTCTTCTCATAAGGATTACATATGTGAAGTATGAAAGCCCTATCCCTTACCGTTCAAATGTTATGGTCAAGGTTAAACTTTTTTTCATAAGTACGGAAATCTCCAAGGTCAAGGTTGGTATCCAATGAAAGGCCTTGCCACAAAAAATACATATCTGAAATATGTAAATCCTTTTTTCTACCATTCAAAAGATATGGTCAATGTTAAAGTTTTTTCATAAGTAAGGAAATCTCCAAGGTCAAGGTCAAAAGGTCAAAGTTGTTTGTATCCAATGAAAGGTCTTGCGACAAAAAAATACATACCGTAAATCTGGAAATTTTTACTGTAGATAAATTTTTAGCAAATTTGCGCATGCATTGCATTCGCAAAAATATTTTTCTTAAAAATAAATCAACATATGTGGAATTTTTTTCTGAGGACTCGTGTCTTTTTTTGTCGGTAAGCACTGGTCGTTTTTAACAGAAACCTATTTACACTAGTCTACTATAACACATTAACTACAAGTTAATTACCGTACGTGTAAATTGCCCTCATTATATGCAATATCGTTCAATGATTTGACAAGCACTGTGGCGGTATGCCCCTTTTTAATTATTTTAATCAATTAATTTGCCAATAAAGAGAGAACTTTCATTTTATCTAACCGTGTATCAACACGGGCGATAACCCAGACTCAGTGCATTTACTAGAAAGTTCCAAATGTATTAACGCGGCGTGTAAATTTTAGGTGAGAAAAAAAGAAACGTTGAGAAAATAAGTTATATTTTTTTCTTCATTTGAATTATACTTTAGGTCAAAAGGCATACACAACCTCTAAGATGTTTGTTATAATTGATTTAAAAATTATTTTCAGTGCAAATCCTTTTGTATTTTTATCAAAATTGTTTCGGAGCGATATTGCAATATCTTGCCACGTTGTGAATATATTGGTGGTATTCTAACTGTACATACTATTTGAAACATAACCTGATCTGAAAACCTTCTATGATTTTTATTTTTAGCCCCACTGACAATTCGCAAAAATTTGAAGCGTAAAAATTAATCAACAGCTTTTTGACCCAAATTCGCAAAAATATATCGACGTAAAAATTTCCAGATTTACGGTATGTGAAAAAAATGAAGTCCTAGTATCTACCTTTCAAAAGTTGTGGCCATGGTCAAAGTTTTTGACAATTAGGTCAGTCTCCAAGGTCAAGGTCAAAGGGTCAAAGTTCTTGGTATCCAATGAAAGGTCTTCTCACAAGGATTACATATGTGAAGTACAAAAGCCTTAGTCCTTTCCATTGAAAAGTTATGGTCAAGGTAAAAGTTTTTTCATAAGTACAGAATTCTAAGGTCAAGGTCAAAAGGTCAAAATTGTTGGTATCCAATGAAAGGCCTTGACACAAAAAATGCATATGTGAAATATGAAAGTCCTAGTTTCTACCATTCAAAATATATCGCCAAAGTAAAAGTTTGGATTTTTTGTGTAAAAGTGGGTCAAACTCCAAGGTCTAGGTCAAAAGGTCAAATATGGTGGTAACCAAAGAAAGGTCTTTTCACAAGGGATACACATGTGAAATATGAAAGTCATAGCTCCATTAAATCAAAAGTTATGGGCAAGGTTAAAGTTTTTGTGACAGACGGACAGACGAATGAGATTTAATGTCCCCTCGCTTTCGCAAAAGCGGGGGACAATAAACTTGAATCTACACCAGATGAGATGCTTCCATATAACTATAACCAATCATGACTTTGCTTTTCTTGGGAAGAAAAATTTTAAAGATTTTACCAATGTATTCCTATGTTAAACTTTGACCCCTCATTGTAGCCCCATCCCCCAGGGGTCATGATTTGAACAACCTTGAATCTGCACAACCTGAGGATGCTTCCACATGAGTTGAATTGCTTACATCAGTATGTATCAGCACATGAATTTTGACACTGATTTAGGAAAAGTGAGGTCAGGGTCAAAGGAAAGGTCAAGGTCAAAAATGTTGATGCATTTGAAATGTCTCTTCAGTATGTAACAGCATATGAAGTTTGATAAAAATATCTTAAATGGTATCTTTAAAACTGAGCTTAACACTAATTAAAGATAAGTGAGGTCAATGTCAAAGGAAAGGTCAAGGTCAAAATATGTTGATGCAGTTGCATAGCTATCATCAATACTAGTATTTATCAGCATATGAAGTTTGATGAAAATATCTTGGATATTATCTTTGAAACTGAGCTTTGCACAGAGCTAAACACAAAGTGTGATGGAAGGACAGACGGAAGTACAGAAGGATGGAAAGACGGTATGATGGACATGACAAACACTATATGCCCCAGCCATATTCATGGCGGGGCATAAAAAGTTTACGCACACCGCACAAATGGCCATAGCATTAGCTCCTTGACTTGCCCTTTGGCTAAGAAGAGCTAAAAATAGAGCATGTTTATTCGTCATTTTTTAAAATATATCTAGAACAAATTTGCAGAGGTATAATTAGACATAGTATTTTTTCTATACTCTTGGATATCAGCTATTCAGAGAGATAGGAATTATTCAATGATGGTACACTGTCTTAACGTATAGCGGGTTATTTTAGCGGGGTGCTATTTTTGGCTTATTTTGGCGTTTTGATGGTATCCTGCTAAAATTTTACTCGCTAAAATCTTCAGTACTCTTAATGGTGTTTATCTGCAAAGAGTTTAAACCCTGCATCCGCTAAAATAAATTATGCCAAAATTATTGGCATACCTTGAGCAGGCAAAACGCCAAATTTTACACCCGCCAAGAAAACCCGCTATATGATATGAGAAAGAGTATACACATGGTATAACACAAAAAGAGGCCCATGGGCCTTATAGGTCACCTGAGTATCATGCGACAACTTTCCAACAATTGAATTTGATTCATGTTTTAAACTAGAGGCCATGAAATTCACAATTTTGAAAGAGGCACCATTGCTTATCATAATTATACACTCAGCTTGCTTATTTTGGTTACTTAAAACTCAGAGGTAGATCGGAGTAACAAAGGGAAAATGCATTTCCACTTTTAGTGAATTTCAGGGCCCCTGGGTCAGGGCTTCTTTTGTTAGGACAGGTCCACAGTTGAGCTCCCCATCCCACAGGAACCACTGACCTTGGGGTCACATCTTTCAAAATTTTGGAATTTTTTTAAAATCTTATTTCATCATGCTGTTGATTAATACCAAAGTGCAGACTTCAAAGCATTAAATTATTTCAGACTATGTTAACCCCCCCCAAAGTACCTTTATCCCAGGGGACAGGAAATTAACCATTTTTGGAAGAAGCAGGTTTTTTTCATAAATATTTACTAAGATCATTGGCATTATACCCAATAACAAAGGAAAAGATTTTCAAAGAATTCAAGCATTTTCACTATATAAACATTAGAGCCCCCCCCCCCCCCCCCAAACACAAGAATCTCTAATCCAGGGACCCTGAAATTCAAAAATCTCAAAGAGGCATCCTTCCTCCTCATAACTATGTACATAGTTCATTAGTTAAATACTCAGGTGCAGAAAAGAAGAGTTTTAAAGAATTTATGCATTTTCACTATATATTCAATAAAGCCCCACCCTAACACCAGAACCCCCAACCCAGGGGCCATGAAATTCACAATTTTGGAAGAGGTAGCCTTATTCAACATAACTATGTACTAGGTTAGTTTATCTAATACTAGTACTCAGGAGCAAAGAAGAAGATTTTCATAGGAATAATTCATTTTTTACTATATATTCTATATAGCCCTGTCCTAGGACTAGAACCCCTGACCCTGGGGCCATGAAATTCACAATCTTGGAAGAGGCAGTCTTATTCAACATAGCCATGCACTTGGTTAGTTTATTTTAAATGCCCACATTTCAAAGAATTTTTGCATTTTCACTATATAATCTATATAGTCCCACCCTGTCACCAGAACCCCTGACCCTGGGGCCATTAAATTCACAAATTGAGAAGAGGCAGTCTTATTCAACATAACTATGCACTTGGTTAGTTTATTTTAAATGCCCACAAACAGAAAAGAAGAATTTCAAAGAATTTATGCATTTTCACTATATAATCTATATAGCCCTGCCCTAGCACTAGAACCCCTGACCCTGGGGCCATGAAATTCACAATTTTGGAAAAGGCAGTCATTTTCAACTTACCTATGCATTTGGTTAGTTTTTTTAATGCCCACAAACAGAAAAGAAGAATTTTAAAGAAATAATGCATTTTCACTATATAACCTGTTTAGCCCCGCCCTAGCACTAGAACCCCCTGACCCTGGGGCCATGAATTACACAATTTTGGTAGAGGACTCAATGCTGATTACAATTATACCAACAGTTTAACTGCTTGATGTCCAGGAGTAAAGAAGAAGATTTTTAAAGATTGCAATAATTTTAGTGGCTTTTGCCCCACCCCCCAGGCCCCAGGGGAGCAGGGACCATGAAATTCACAATTTTTGTTCCCCTTCACCCATAGATGCTATATGCCAAATTTGGTTGAAATTTGTTCAGTGGTTTCAGAGAAGAAGCTAAAAATGTTCAAATGTTAACGCACGACGACGGACGAAAACAAATAGCAATAGATCACCTGAGTTTACTCAGGTGACCTAAAAATCCTGGCTCTCAAATGTCCAATTACGCAGTATATCAGCAGTGAGAATTATTTTAGAAAGTAAGACAAAAGTCACTTGGTTGGTTACCATAATTTTACAAAAGTCTCAGTGCCAAGTAACAAAATATGAATCAGTAAACATTTTCAGTTCTCAAGATAAGGTTGATGGACGACCACAGTGGTTCAGTGATTCCATTTGCTCTACTACAATACGTTATCTAGTCTTCCTCTGTCCAATTCAAGTCATCTCCCCAGCCCTCCACATCCTGAAATGAAATAAGGTAATTTACTTAACTATCACACAGAGAAATGTCAAGATGTAAAATTAAATAAAACTATGTTTGATTTTATAGGACAACTAAAGACAAGAGGCCCACGGGCCTTATAGGTCACCTGAGTATTGTGTAACAACTTTCAAACAATCAAATTTGGTTCGTGTTTTAAACCAGAGGCCATGAAATTCACAATTCACAATTTTGGAAGAAGCTCCATTGCTTATCATAATTATTAACTTAGCATGCTTACTCTATTTACTTAATACCCAAAGGTAGATCAGAGTAACAAAGAGAAAATGCACTTCCACTTTATACCCAGTTGTGCACCTCACCCCAAAGGAACCACTGACCCAGGGGCCACATATTTCAAAATTTTGCAAATTTTATAATTAAATGGTTGATTAATACCAAAGAGCAGATTTCAAAGCATTAATTTATTTTCAGACTATGTAGCCCCCCCCCCCCCACTGACCTAGGGGGCAAAAAAAACCACTTTGCTAGATGCACCTTTCTTCATCATAAATATATATACTTGAATCATTGGCATAAAACCCAGATTGTTCTGAAGCAAAGGAAAATATTTTCAAAGAATTAATGTATTTTTTACTATATAATCAATAGAGTCCCGCTCTAACACCAGAACCCCTGACCCTGGGGCCATAAAATTCATAATTTTGGAAAAGGCAATCTTGCTTATCATAACTATGTGCTTAGTTAGTTTATTTAATACTCAGAAGCAGAGAAGAAGATTTTCAAAGAATAAATGTATTTTCACTATATAATCAATAGAGCCCCACCCTAACACCAGAACCCCTGGCCCTGGGGCCATAAAATTCACAATTTTGGAGAAGGCACTCTTGCTCATCATTACTATGTGCTTAGTTAGTTTATTTAATACCCAGAAGCAGAGAAGAAGATTTTCAAAGAATTAATGCATTTTCACTATATGATCAATAGAGCCCTGCCCTAACACCAGAACCCCTGACCCTGGGGCCATGAATTTCACAATTTTGGTAGAGGACTCAATGCTCATTACATTCATGTCAACAGTTTGCCTGCTTGATGTCCAGGAGTAAAGAAGAAGATTTTTAAAGATTGCAATAATTTTAGTGGTTTTGGCCCCACCCCTCATGCCCCAGGGGGGCAGGGACCATGAAATTCACAATTTTTGTTCCCCTTCACCCATAGATGCTGTATACAAATTTGGTTGAAATTGGTTCAGTGGTTTCAGAGAAGAAGCTGAAAATGTTCAAATGTTAACACACGACGCACAACTACGGACGAAAACAGATAGCAATAGGTCACCCGAGTTACTCAGGTGACCTAAAAAGTCAAGAATTGTGCTGAAAATTACCATGACCTAAACCTTCAGGATATCCGATCCTCAGCCAGTAAGGATAACTCCAAAAATTAATATTTAATTTGAAATGCATCAAAATGAAGCTTAAAAATGAAATTTTTTCAAGCAACAATTTTCATTTTATTCATCTTTTTAAAGATTCAAGGTTTTTGGAAGTCTTATAAAAGTTGACATTTGAACCCTATAAAAGGAAAAAAAAATAATACAGTTTTCGAGAAATAAAATTTTCATGAATCCAGCCTTAGATACCACTGCTTTTTAGCATGATATGAAATAAGAAGTGATTTGTGGTGTCTTGCAAATGATAGCAAAAGCCTTTTACACCATGTATTATAGAATATGTGATGGAAATAGAAGACAAAGATACCAAATAAGTATAAAAATCATGACAATTTCTCTGAATGCCTGGATACCTATCGTTTTTTAACCTAAAATATATTTGTTGATCAATTTGCAGTTAGAAAATGCATTGCTGATATTATAATTCGCTTTTTCTGCAAAAATATTGGAGATTTGACAATTTTCCCTATATAAAATGATTAACTTTAATCTTTAACTTTAAAGAAATACTGTGGATAAATTTACATAATGTACTGGATTCAGAGATACTTTTATGAGTATTTTAAGTTACTTAACTGCTAATTTTATAAACCTGAGGATCAGACTACCTTAGGGAGGCTAGGGGGTCAACAAATTATCAGATATAACTTCATTTTTTAGATATGATATCTTAAGCAGTCAACTATCATTTGGCAAACAAAATTTTCATACATCTTAGTTTTGAAATTTGATCGCTATATATACCATATAATCCCTATTGACCGCCCTGAATGCTTAGAAAATTGCAAAAAGGGGGCGGTTACTAGTACAGTAAAACTCGGTTATAGCGAAGTCCTGGGGACCTGTGAATTTAATTCACTATATCCGTAATACGTTACATCCGTAAAACAAATTCGTAAAAACATTATAGAGAATTTGCACTATGCATTTTTTCCTTCAAGTATTACTACTAACTGTGTTAGTGAAGCAAATATTACAAAACACATCTTTGATAACTAAGGTTTTCTTATGAATTGAATTTTTTATACAAATGCTAAAAGGAAATAAAGTATGTTCAATTTATCAATTTTTTTTATAATCTTTGAAAGTTCGTTATAAACGATGTAAATTTCATTATATTTAACCTCAACGGGACTCAAAATCAGTTTGCTATATCCGTAAATTCGTTATATCAGAGTTCGTTATAACCGTAAAATTTTACAAAGATTTGTTAAGAATTTTGCCGGGGACCCAGAAAAACTTCAGCTATATCCGTGAATTCGCTATATCAGTGTTCGTACTAAACAAGTTTTACTGTATTTTGGTATTTTCTTTATCATATTTATAGTCATATTTTAACTTCCAAAAAAATTTTCAAAAAAAAAATACAAAGAACAACTTTAATCGCAAGCTTGAGCATTTGAACAGCCAACTTAAGCTTGTGCCAATATTCACCAATACAAGTTCAATAACCCTATAATTCACCGTAAACAGTTATATTGCCCTCCCGAACAGTTACATTCCCTTGCTTGCAATTATTCTGAATATTAATTACGACGGGTTCGAAATTCACTGAGGCAGTTGCTAGGCAAATGTAAACACTATGTCAGATAATCAAAAATTAAAAAGTATGGACAACGTCTGCGATTTGTTCATTTGAATTCAGAGAAATTAGTTAATTGAGGAGAAAAATTCCTGAAAAATGTAACAAAGATTATCAACACAAGTGTCAGCATACTGAAAACATTCTGCCATGAAACAGGATGAAATATTTTGGAATCATACTCAATGTACATGTACATGTATGTGTACATATTGTTCATCAAATACATTTGATGATCGATCTGGGTTCAATGTTTAAAAATGTTATATACCATATATTACATGGCTTATTTCTGTTAATGTTTTAACTTTATAAATCACTTAGTTTTGGAGCTATTGTAAAAATAAATTTTATGACAAGTTGACCTTTGGTGAAATCTTAAGAGTTACTATGAAATCATAAATTTTAGTGGGGGTTTAATTTTCGTTGTCTTCGAGGTATGAAGAGACCCACAAATTCATGTACACCACAAAATGTAAAATGTTACGTACATTACCTACTCAATAATTCTTCATCCACAAATTCAAATCCCCACGAACCAAGACTTTTTGCTCAAACCACGAAAATTTGACCCCACGAAAATATGTGATTTTACAGTACTAGGAAATTGACTCACTGCAAAAACTTGAAACATAATGCCATACTCACATTTACACCCAGGCAACTGACCAACCAAGAATATCAGTTTGAAAATTGATATCATTATATCTAATTAATTTGAAAAAAATCTTCATTTTTTAAGAACACATATTGATCTACATCTATACTTATGTTGCATGTTGTCCATTGGAGAAAACCTGTAACGGTTATGTAATTCAGATTGATAAATTTATACCAGCTGACTGTTTTCATCCATGTTGTATGATAGAGGGTTTGTAGGGCTTTGAACAGCTGATGATGTTGGACCTTCATTCTGATGTTTCTTCATTATTTCCTCTGAAGACACTCCCCGCTTAATCATTGGAGTCAGTCCCATGTCTGCAAAATAGTCTGTTTCTAGAAAAACTTGTGCAGTGGGACCCAGCTGTTTAATTTCAAATTCAGCACCAAGTGGAGTGTTTTCTTTCTTTGGCGGCTTTTTTTTTGAAGATTGTAACTTTAAAGCATTTTTTGCCAGCTTTGGTATACTGGTATGATTCTTATTAGATCCTTCTCTTCCAACAGGCTGTGATTGCTGGTTTCTGTGACTTGTTTCATTATGAAAATCATTATTCGGATTAGAAGATTCCTTAGAAAAGTTCCAATATTCCTTGTCTAACTTCTTTTCTGACTCAATTGATATAACTGGTGCTAGTTGAGATTGGGAGGTGTCCACAAAATTATTATCCCAGTCCGACCAATCATCTTCACTGTCATTACCGGTCACATAAACATCAGGATCGAGACGGTCATCATTCCAACTAAAAGAAATATTGCATCAGTTAGACTGAAAAGATGATTTGTGGCAATGCACTTTGAAAAAATTATGTACTTTGAAAATTTTTTTCAAAGTGTGTTAAAATTGGGACAAAATCAACGCACTTTGAAAATTTTTTTCAAATTGCGTTAAATTTTGGACACACGGCACTTTGAAAAAATTTTTCGAAGTGCATTAAGAGTGTACATAAACATTTCTTACCAAGGAGGCATTCAACGCACTTTGAAAATAATATGTATCAAACAAAAAAATTAGACTTAGACTTTAGTAATAAAGAGAATAAATTTGCAATAATTATATCTTTCGAAAAACTTTTTAATTAAATGTATCCATTTAACCTCATTGAGAACAAGGAGAAGACGAGTAGATGGTCTCTCAGCCAACCTCTTTTTTCTTAAATATCGTACATAGCAAATTGAAAGTGGACCCTCAAGGTAAGCCCCAATTTTCAATGCCTATATTATGTATATCTTTGCAAAATATATGTGTACCTAAGCCCCCCCCCCCTCCTGGTACCGATGCCTATGCTACACCCAAATATATGTATCTACATAACCGGTATGATGTTGAAAACTTTCAAAAAATTAGTTTGCATAAATTAATTACATGCAAACTGGAAAAAAATTAAGTACGGTAAAACATTTAAGAAAAGAAACAAAGAATTTTCAAAGTTTGAAAAATCATAATCGCTCACTTTCACATCCTGAAGTGACCGCATCACCGAAAAGTTATCAAAGGATTCAATTATTTATCATACCTAAGATTTGAAAGAATATTGACCAAGCCAAACGAATTTTTTCAAATGCGTTAATATGGTCGATATTAACACACTTGGAAAAGAAAATTTATTTTTTCAAAGTGCTTTGATTTGGTCCCAAATTTAATGCACTTTGAAAATTTTTTTCAGAGTGCGTAATTTTTCAAAGTGCGTTGTAACAATGGTTTCTACCTGAAATAATGTAGCCCTCTCCATTTTTTGTTCTGGGGAATATATTAACACCATAATGTAGATCTTGTGGAATCTTACTCTTACCTAAAAACATTAGATTAAAAAAAATTGTTGAGGGCTACATTCTTGCAGCTAAATGATCTCTAAGAAGATTATAGATCTAGTGTTACAAGTTAAAATACTAAAACAAAATAGTCTAGTAACCTGAATTGATCCCACCACATGGCATGCCTTATTAAAGAGTGTGGTATAATTTCAAGCATCTGCAATGAGTAGTTGCTGGGACAACTGCCACAAAAATTTGTTATATGCGGTATGGACAGGAATTTGACATCAGATTTAATGATTTCTACCCTAGGGATTTTGATAATTTTTTCGGTAGTTAATTTTTACCATTACATTTATATTTATTGTTTTAAGATTAAAAAATTGAATGTTTACCACCCTAATTTCTTAAGGGGCCATCTCAAAAGTTGTCAAATTTTACTATTGGACCCTATGGGAATTTGTTGAAATAGTGCCAAATCATTACACTTTTTCCATATTTTTTGTATTTCTGCCCTAGAGATTGCTTTTTCAGTCAAGTATATGAAAGTTATTGTAAAAAGTCACAAAACTGTGAAATTTCAAAAAAGTTTTCCATCTAGGTTGATCTAAGTCTTAATTACAAAGTTTATTTTTTCGATGAATAATATCTCTAAAATTGCCATATTGCAGTATAAATACATATCGGTGCAGATAAATTATCAGTGCAGATAATTTTTGGGTTAAAAAATAGCAATATTTAGATTGCTAGTATGTTTCTTTTGATGTTCTGTCATCAGTTTTTAGGATAATATTCGTGGACGTCTACGAACATATAAGCAAGTCATGTGTCATTCTTCAGCATTGTGCATTGCTTTCAAAATCTGAAAATAGTGACTTTAGAGCCATTTCAGCATTTTTCCTAATAATTGTCAATTACAGATAATGTTAATTTTATATTAAAATCAAAATATTTTGTAAAGGTGTACTGTCGCACCTATGACTGCATAAAAATAAAAAGCTGCGCAAATAGACTCAGCTCTTAGAAAATGAATCCCACCATATGGAATGCCTAAACAAAGGATGTGAAAAAATTTCAAGCATCTGCAATGAGCAGTTGCTGACGAAACTGGGACCAACAAGCTAATTCAGAGAATTTGTGTCCCCCCCCCCCCCCACGCTTAAGGAAACCAGAAGTCTCTGTCGAGACTATAGCTCTACTGGTTTGTACTTATAATAAAGGAAGAGAAAAGTAGCAGTTGGGACATACATGTAAGACTATACAAAAGCAACAAATAGAATAATGATCCTTGATTAAGTCTTTTTTTGTAGCAAGATTGCAATAAGACTACAACTGTAGGAATAGCTTTTGATAAAACTTTTCAGAATTTTCAATTTTATTTACCATGGCAACATCAATCAACAAAATCAAAAAAACAAAACTGATAATTATGTATCTCAGTGTAGTCCCCTTACATGCCAAATTATATCATAATCAGGCTAAAACTGTATTTGGAGTAGAATTTTGAAAGTATTTCACAGAAATTTCTATTTTTATTAACTACGGCAACATCATTCATCAAAATCAAAATCCGATATGAGGAATTATGTATCTTAGTGTAGTCTACTTGTGTGCCAAATTATACTGAAATCAGACCAAAACTGTAGGAGATGAAGCATTTTGAAAGTATTTCACTGAAATTTCTATTTTTAGTAATCACAGCAACATAGTTCATCAAAATCAAAAACCGATAAACAGAATTATGTATCTTAGTGTAGTCTAATTGTGTGCCAAGTTATATTGAAATCAGACCAAAATTGTAGGAGTAGTAGCATTTTGAAATTATTTCATTGAAATTTCTATTTTTAGTAAATACAGCAACACAGTTCATCAAAATCAAAAACCGATAAACAGAATTATGTATCTTAGTGTAGTCTGTTTGTGTGCCAAATTATATTAAAATCAGAGCATTTTAAAAAATTGTTTACAGACAGACAGCAAGACGGACACATTACTATGGCATAAGCTCTTCTGGTCTCTGACCAATAAGCTAAAATGAAGACCATGTGCAGTTGGGGGGAGGGGGTGTCCGATCCCCCCTGACTGAATTTGTTAGATATTTCAATGCACAAAAAAGTTATCCTTGAAGAAAATGACTCTTATGTATTATCAATTCTGTACCGATGCACATATACAGATTTAAATGTTCAAGTAAACTGTCAACTGTAAAACCACAGTCACATTTCCAAAAACGAACAGCGGCCGCCGGTTTTTGAAGCAAAAATAGAATTCTTCGGGTGACAGTCGGCAGTTCATCGGCCCTTGTCTTGCCCGATTTTGACCTCTTTTTTTGTCGGTCGACCAATTTTGTGTCAATCGGTCCAAGTTATAATTTTTTGTGCGTCGGTGGCCGATCTCTTCAATTGAAGTTATCTGTCGATCAACCTTCGATCATTGACGGTCAGTTTTAAGTCGGTCATCCGTCGTTCAACTTTTAAAAAGGGTGTCCAAAATTTCGGCCGATAGTAAAAATCAAACTACAGCTCAGGGCTCAATGATCGGGCGACGATTGGCCGACTTATGAACAATTAACCTATTAAAGATACAAAACGCAATCAAAATTTTCACGCAAGGATTGATATATATTTTTTGAACGGAAATAACATATATTATAAATCCATAAGATATGAAGAAATCTTAAGCATTCTTCACTGCTTAGATATGCGCCATTTGTCGTTTTTTATGCAATTCAAAACAAAATTTTGCACACATTTTCAACATTGAGTCAGAATCTTATAAAATTCTACCATTTTGCCTTGCAAACATTACTCACATCACCTACATGTATCTGAATTTAAATCTATGAAAAATATTGCTGATTTCTAACAAAAAAAGATTTTTTGTGTTCTTTATCCAAATCATCGGTGTTCGTAGGAATTAATGTGACTGCTCCGTGTAGCCCGATACTCGTGTTGGCCGATCATGTTTTTTCAGGCGATGAGACCAGAAAATTTAGTCGCCCGACCATCAGCTTAAATGTGACCTAGGCATTACAGTCAGTGCTTCTCACAAAAGTCCATTAGGTAGATAACCATGACAGTTTGTATGATAACAATACTTTCCATACTGTAACATTACATAATAAACTAGTGCTAATTGTAACGGGGACCGTTACAGATGTTCCCCAAACGCTCCCCAACTCCCTTTTGGTGCCATATTCCCTGTAAGCTTCATTAAATAAGACAAACTCTATGCATTTGAGACTTTAAAAACGTTTACCCAGAGTGTACCAAGTTCATTCGAATTTTAGCATTGCACGCGTGCTCATGTGAATGCATGTGCGTAATGACCATATCATCTTGTCTACACAATCTATATATTTAAATATACTAAATATTAAAGTATTTAATCCAAAAGTATTAAAAAATAAGCTCATTCAAGTGTATTTTTGATTTTGCTCATTTTACGTGCACGCACGTGCATACATGAGCATGGTGACTATACCTTCTTGTAGAAGTCCATAACATCTATCTATGTTCTAAACCCCACCCCGTTTGGTTGAAAACCAAAGGAGTTATAGCTGTTCAAAGTTTCAGCCAATCAGATTGCAGCACACGTACACGCACGTGTATGCATGTGCATGGTGACCATATACCTTCTTGTAGTAGTCCATTATATCTATCTATGTTCCAAATCGCATCCTTTTTGGTTGAAAACCAAGGGAGTTATAGCTATTTAAAGTTTAAGCCAATCAGATTGCAGCGCACGTGCATGCACGTGTTTTCATGATAATTCCTATATATCATATTGTAGGATATCCTAATGCATGACTATGTTCAAAATTTCA